GTAACCCAACAAGGGAAAGGGAAAACAAAAAGGACAACTCGGGCCTGGTGCTGGTGCTGGTGCTGGTGCTGGTGGATGGATTGCTGTAAAAAGCCCCCAATCGATGCTTCGCGCCCCTCGCCTCAGCTTCCCGAGCTCAGCTCCAACGACGATGCAGTTCGCTACGCAAGTTGCGCGGATGCTGCGCCAGCTCAGTTAAACCCCGCTTCTCACGCTCGCGGTGGAGGGAAAGGGATGTGGAAGGTGAGAGGGGTCGTAGAGGTAGGTGTGCGCCTCTTCCCTCCGGGCTCTGGGCTCTGGGCGTGATGATGGCTTGCTGCGCGATGTCGCTGTAGCGCTGTCTCGGCCTCCCGTCGTTCGTTTGGTTGTAGTCTGGTTGACGGCTCGTACGGATTTCAACGGCGTTTCGATGTGCCCTGCATCCCTTTTTGGGTTCTTGCAGATCAGGTTTCCTATATCCAAGGACCAAAGGTCAAGTTTAATGATGTATGAAAACGTTTGGGATGGCCAGAAAAGCTTTTCAAAACCCTTTTCCACATACAGCCTGCACACGAGGTGGGACTCTTCTTGGTTATATGGCATTGGAGAAGCTCAGACTGGTACGGGGTACTTGATTGGAAGTCACTTTTACTCTCCAGCTGTTACTGCGTAGAATGCGCCCCCTCCACAACCACACACACCCCTGGCCAAGTTTCCCAACTGGCATGTTTTTGTGGCACATGAAGCATTAACATGAGCATTCGTCCCGTGGAGAAAAAAAAAAGGTGGGAAGCTGGGCCAGAAACCAAGGCACTTGCCTCGTCCTGTAAAGTGGGCAATTATTGGTCCAGAACCTCCTTTCCATCCAAAGGCTATCCAAGGCCAAGGGTGTCAGTGACGACCACCGGTCTGAAGTCTTTGGGAGGAGTCTGTGAGCAGGAGCCAACCTACTATGTACATCGCAGTGTGTACACTTCCAGCCTAGGTGACTAGGAGGTGGCTGTTGAGCTGTTCATCGCGCCCTATACGATATTGTGCCGGGCAGCCTCTTTCCTTTGACGGCTTGACCAGTGACCACCACCAAAAAGCTTGAGTTCCTCGACTCTCATCACGTTCCTGAAGTAATTCGAGGTCCCGTGCCGTCTGACCAGGACCTGCCCGCACCATCTCTTGGCTCTTTTGGCTGCCATCTCTCTCTCCCTCTCTTGAAGTCGAAGCTCAGGGAAGGGGTCATGTTGGGGAACCTTGCCCCCAATCACCGTCACGACACCCCCAAAAGAGGTCGTCCTCGTCGGATCGTTGCGGCAAGGTTCGTATATGGCACACTTTGCCAAGCCTAGACATGCAACGCAACACCTGCTCTATGGAAACTATTTGCTGACTCGGAGACGTGAGTTTTGCGGTTGCATTCGTGACAGACATGGACAATATCCGTAGGTTGATGCGCTTGTGCGGTTGCCAGACTGATACCATACCAAAGGTCAATCAAGTCCATCCAGTAGACCGGAATCGAAGATCCATCCGCGTGTGTAAGAAAAGGCGCGGCAGTAGGTACGGATACTCCGTACGGCTACTCAAAATGCATCATTAATGCAAGATGCAATTGCCCGCCGTTGGACCTATCTGCCCAGGTCCACCGTTCAAGGCTGGCGGATTGCGATGGTCGCAGATGAACCCAAACAGTGATGCAATGTTAAACCTCCATCAGGACCAATCTCCCACACTCCGATTCGGAGATGCCCCACAGGCATTTCCCTGCGTAGCCATCAAATTCGTCAACAAGACCACCGCAAGACCAAGTGACACAGACTGGTTCTGTCATTGAACCACGGTTGAGGCATCATCACCACGAACGACCATCCTTGGCGCAAAGGGAAAAGAGGTCATTTCACCCAGCCCTTCCAGACGCAGAACGTCCCAGGCCCAGGCGTGCCTCGCGGTAGGCCGGCGTCGCTGGCGACTGGTCGTGCTCGCTGGGCTTGGGGTCATCAGACGAAGCTGGGGCCGGGCTTTGAACAGGAGCGGAGCCACGTTCGCAATCGATCAAATTTTCAGATCACCTGAGCTCCAGCCAGGCATCCGGGCGGCGGAGACCAACCTCAGACCTGGTTGCTGTCCAGTCCAGTTGCGCGGCAGTCTCACACACACCAAAAACCAACGCCCCTCCACCAATGTGGCATTCTTGGAGGTACCTGCGCAAGATGTACCTCTGGCTGGCGAAACGTTAAAAACGTCTCGGTGGCCGTCAAGAAAACAAAGGGTGCGGTGCCTGTCGGTCTCTGCGAAAAAAGTTGCGTAGATATTTCCGAGTTGTGTCCTCCAGTCGGAGTGAGGCTGAGATGCGTGATTTGGGAACCGGAGCCCCCATGAACTTGAAGATAAGAAGCATCGAAAAACCTATCCTTACCCCAGCTGATGATCGCCAGTTGGGGAGTTTGACAAGGCAGAAGGAGTATTTGCTAGATTGACCTCCTTTTCCCCCACGGTCTGAAGGCTGAAGGCTGAAGCATCTGGTGGACAGTCTAAAAGCATTGGCATCACACCCAGGCTTCGAGCACGGCGGTACCGATGCAATGATCAGCGACGGGCAGCATTGGGAAGTGCCGTAGGTTGTGACAGCCCTGAAAGCGTTTTGCAGGCTTCGTTTTGCAGGCTTGTAGGCTTGCAGCACAGATTGGCACGAATTGGCAGCCCCCAAAGGGCCTAGCGACATTTGGACGGCATCCCTGCGAGACTGCGCGGTAAGGCAACGTTAGCGACCACACTAATGGATGCCTGCCTCAGATCCTTGAGAATGCAGAATTTGCATCTCCGCGGAGCACCCCTCTCCAGCTGTGACGAAGGCCACAGCAGGACGGACGCGGTTGAAGTTGGTGTGGTGGTCTATCCTGGCGTGGGAAAGGTTTGGGAGAGAAAAAAGGGTTGGCGGCCAATAATTGAACGATTTTGTTGCCCATTCAAGACAAAACGCACGCCTCTCATTGTTACGGCAGGACCCGAGCATTCGGGAGAGGGCAATGGCGGCGGCGTTTCGTCACACCTTCATTCATGCTGCAGCTGCGATGTTGAAATATTTTTTTTTTCCAACCCTCCGTCATGCTTGGAGATGTTCTCCAAAACAACCCCCAACGCTTGATACACTCCAACTCTTTGGTTTGGGTTGGCGGCTGGTCCGACCTCGTCTGACTTTTTCGAGCATAGCCGCCAAAGTTCGTCTTTTGGCCAGGGATCGGGAGACCGTCACCAGGACGGAAGCCAAGACTTGTCGGTCGCAAATGACTTGTTGAGTTGGCAGTCGATCAGACCGTGCAATGGCAGTATTCTGCGTCGTCCGTCGTCTGTCGTCTGTCGTGTCGTCCGTGAACACGGTGGTCGGTTGACGGTCAAGGGAAAGTCGTCCACCTCGTTTGGTGGCTCCGTTCAGGTGACCGTCTGGAGGAATTGGTCCTGGCGTCGGATCGGGGGTCCAGGTGGTCCGAGCCTGAGTACGTATCTTTACATATCTAAGAAATGGAACTGAGGAGAATAGAGAGTGGAGATGTTCCCATGTTCTAGAAAACTTCTAGTCTCGAGACCAAACCGGGCAAGTTGCCAAGTCCTCTTAGCCTCCGAGTTCCGGACCATTTCCGCGCAGCGCGGTCCTGCCATCGTTCGCCGCGGCATCCGAACATCGGAAAGCCAATGGTCTGACACAAAAGCCAAAAGGGCCTTCCGCCGCGTCGCATTCAGTCGCACTCTCCCATTCTCCCACGTTCCCATCCCTCCTTTCTTCCAAGTTCCTGCAACGTAACTCATCCAATCCCGTAGGTGGTACGCGAAGCCCGAGGGCGGGGCGCTCCCCTCTGTGCCAGTGCCAGTGCCAGTGCCTCTCTTCCATGAGGTGGTGGACCGCGCTGGTGGAGAATTGGAAGACGGGGAGGGGATTCCTTCAGACGCAAGTCTTGTAGTTTCATTGCCTCTTTGGGCCAAGCTCGTCGAGGTGTGTGGGAGGGGGTAGCTGGCCGCCGGCCGCTGCTGCTCATGTCAGCACCTGGCACGCCGCACATAGTGTAGTACTCCAACGGTCATCGCCAACACCATTTGCAACAATTAATAGTCTGGACTGCAGCGCGGTTACGTCGGTTAGTCAGGTGACGAGGTTGACGAGGATTGCAAAGCCCCCAGGTACCAACACAGATACCCGTCAAGGTTCGCGAGATCGTCATCCTTCGGGGCTGCGGAGGGGGTTCCGGGGGGGCATGAATGAATACCTGCAGACTGCAGTAATTAGACATTTGGCATTCCATGGGAACCTTTGTCACGTCGCGATGCTTGGCTTGATGCCTCACAAATAGGCGTTCGGACTACATCCGTCTTTTTGCCAAGAAGTGTCGATGCCGCCGCGTCCGATGTTCTTAATCTTTAGGCACCACACACCAGTGACACCACCTCAATGTGAAACCCGGTTCGTACCGTGGGACGAAGAGAGACGGTTCGGGAAAATCTGCTCAAATCCCTTTCGTTTCTTCGGGCCAGGGCCATTGTGTTTGGCTCCGTTCGTGATGAGTTTGACGTTGAGCGAGTTAAAGTCAAATCGCTGTTTCGAGCAAAGAGAACGTGAGTTAGTGAGTCGGTGGCATGTCGGGCATTCTTCAACGTCTTTTGAGTTCTCAAATGTGCAAGGCCGGTCAACTCTTTAGAGCTCTCTATTGAGTTAAGGGTCGGCGCATTGGCGGCTCAATGCCAACCATGGGTTTTTCTACGTGAACCCTGTCTCCTGGCTGCGGACAGTAACTCTCAAGTTGACTGTGGAGACTTGCAGCAGGTCCAGCTTTGCGGTCGAGTCACCACGATGTAAACCGCCATCAAAATGGTCCAGAAATCAAGCAGTTCAGAGCCATCTGAGGAACACAGAAAAGAACCGTGCTGTCAATGCATAACCCACCAACCCCCAGCATGCGGCTAGTGATCCTAGTAACGAAACAACCAATCAGAGACAGTAATCTATCTTCATATACTCATTGTTGGATGCAGAAAATCAATCCGGCATGGTGTAGCGGTTAGCATACTCCGCTTTCAATCAATCAAACGATTCAAAGTCCCGGAGAGATCCGAGTTCGACTCTCGGTGTCGGAACACCAAAATTTTGCCATTCTCTCAAAGCTCGCTTTTTGGTGGTTGTTGGTTTCCGTACAAATTTTTGGGGAATAGGTTGGACGATAACAGCTCAGAGAGTATGAATTAGAGTTAAGGTTTGGCGCTGAGCTGAGTCCGCGTCTCTTGACTCTTAACTTATACGTCTCTTACGCGACAATAGCGAGATTCTTTCTCACTTCAGTGAGAGGCATGCATTCGCATGTAAGCACAATGAGGCTCTAATTGAGCCATGTTGCTTGAGCGACCTTGACGTAGGGTCGACTATTCGGGAATCACTAGCCTGCAGACTTTCCGTTTGGTGTGTCTATTGAGTTGGCCTTGGAAGAGCACTCAACTAGAAGTTCCTGAGTTTCTGGTCCGACTGCCCCGGGTTTCTACTAGAGGATGACTTGGGAAGCCAAAACCTCGGGAGGTTTTCTCTCTTGTGAGACAAACAGCCCAGAAATGAGATAGGAGCTGTCGGTCCTCGCTGAATCTTCATAGAGACTACTGCCATTTGATGTGAAAGATATCAAGCAAATGTAAGCCACCCTAGACGTGAAAGCAGTTAGAATAGTAGTTCATGATGTTTGAGTGACAGTCCTAGTTCGCGGCGCTTCTTGGTACGTACAACCCGGCACTTTCATAGAACTAGGAGGGGAGACGAGCCCCTGCTGGACTCTCTGCTGGACCAGTTTAGTGCGTTGGGTTGTTGATTCTCTCCGACTACTGCTGGCCTGGTATTTGCTGCTAGGATTTCAAAAAACCTCAATTTAGAGCTGAGATATGCGATGCATTCACTTGTCTCCACATGAGAAGCAGTCTTGGAGATACATCTACCGCAAACGCAAGTTCTTTTGAGAACAAAAGAGGCAAGGTCTGCCGCATGTTGACATCAATTGCGACTCGAACTCGTGCCTTTTACGTTGGTTCTCTTACCATATGAACTGACTGCTCGTTTCCTCCCCCGTAATACGCTTCGTAGGGCTTGTCTCTTCTCAGATGTGAGAAGGCACAACAACCATCTAAAGAGATGAACAAGATGAGCACTGAGAAAATAAAGAGGTGATTTGTGCTGTCAAGCGTCAGTCAAGTTCCCTTTGGAACTAAAGAGTTCCCTTTGGAAATAAAGAGTTCCTCATCACCAGCTGCGAAGTTCTGAGGTTCATGTTAAGCAAACATGAACGAACATGAGATTTGATCCGCCTACGTGGGGTAGATCATGGTTGCAAACTTTTTACCACTGTCTTTTCACTATGTTGCTAAAACATGCTAAATTGTCACTCGTGCCCAAGTCAATTAGGGAGTAAGTTTAAATACTGTCGAGTAGAGGGGATCTCCTCGTTATTGCCATATATTTCTTAAAGAAGCTTCTCGGCTACAAGTCATCTCTCGGTTTACTTGACTATATGAAACCTTCGCAATGCATCATCAGGCGCCACTAGGCAAATGCAAGACTGACTATATGAATTGGAAGATAAGTCAACACATCTTGGAACACACACCCAGGTGACTACCCAGATGAAAGAAAAGGGTGAAGCATGCTTATAGCCCACCCATGGTCGTTCCTTCCTCCCACACCGTGATACTCTGATCGCTCCTTCCTTCTCGCGATTCACAGAACAAACCCTCACTTTTTTCCCTCTGCTTCACCCAAAGAGAAATCCGTTCAGTCAACAATAACAAGAAATTGTACACTCCTACAACAACCCCTTCTTCCCCACATCGCCGACCTACGACGACTCACATTATCCTCACCAACATCATCACCCATCCCTCATCACAAACAAAGAAAAAAAACAGAAAGCCTCATACCTTTACGCACCAAACACACCTCTACCCCTCAACAATGAAGACCAAACGAGCCAACACCGCTCAAGGCCCCTCGGAAATCCTCTCCGACGCACCAGCAATCACCCGCCAGGAACGCATCGTCATCACCCGCCTCCTCGGCGGCCGCCCGTCCTTCCACGTCAATCCGCTCACAGAGAAAGAGATGGCAGTCCTGAAGACCGTCGTCCCGCGCCTCATCAAGGCGTCCAAGGACCCGCTGATGCCGGACGCCGACAGCTTCTTTGACCGCAACTTTGAGACGCACTTCTTCATCTTTGACGACGCGCTCCGGGTCGTCATGCAGTTGAAGGCGTGGTATGGACCTGTGGTATCTCATTGATGGCTGTGCGAGTGTGTGGCTCTTGTTGTGGCTCTGGCTTGGCTTGGCTTTCGATAGTGATCTCTTGCTTGTTTGGAGAGATGGATGGCTTTGCATTGGCTACCTAAGTACTGCTTGCGGTATCTTGAGGCTTCCCTCTCACGATTGTTCTGGCAAGTCGAGAAGATGGCTACATTTCCTACATGATCAAGTTCGCTAACCACTGACTAGCAACGTAACCTACTCGCAATAAAACAGGCTACAAGTACCATGGGAAATGTCACGAGCATCATGAGCATCAGCTAGCTGGAGGGCATGCGCGGGGTACACCTCACAAATTGGGAAACAACATTGCAGAACCACGACTGCTAGGAAAGCTACGGAAGCAGAAATGGCGGTACAGCTCTATATACGATCAACGAGATACAATTACGGAACATCAAGTCAATGAACGTGGTGACTCTGCCCCTTGATAAATGTCCATCTCGAAGAACTTCAGCTGGAGGGATGTGACGCTTGCAGGCAAATTTTGATTTTCACCTCCTTCCTAGTTGCGTGAGACTCGCTATACGTGTGTATATTTGTGTATCAAGCTTTTTTACAAGAAAGAGCATCCACTTGAGAGGTCACGGATACAATGATTGTGGTCTCGGATTCGTAAGTCTTGGAGTCGAACTCCCACCACTCGTATTGATTTTTCATTCTAAATGACACGTCATCTCATTGCCGCTCGAATATACAAAATAAATCACATGCTTCTCTCTGGCCACAGTATTACAGCCTACTCGACTTACTCTCATCCATAATCGCACCGCTCATGAGCGGCATCTGCTGCTGCTGCAGCACCTGATCCCTCCCGACAACAAGCTCCCGCCCGCCCTTGGTAGTCCACCACGCGACCCCAATCGTAGCCCTCTCGACATCCATCTCGCCACTCACCAGCACCTCCCAGAACCGGTCCCTCACAGGCCGCCGCACAGCCGGGTCCGCAATCTCGTTCATCGCCTGCGCCGTCAGCGTCAACCACTCCTCGACCAGCGACAGCGGCAGGAACGGCAACGAGTCCACCAGCGTCAGCACGAGCGAGCTCTGCTCCGAGAGGACCTCTGCTTGCTCGGCGGTCGCCTCGAGGCCCTTCTCGGCCTGCGCGAGCGCGTCGTGCGTGGCGGGCAGCGGCGCCGTGCCCGCGCCCAGCGCCTTGAAGCGCACCATTTCGAGGAGCGTCTCGGAGAGCTGCGGCTCGGCGAGGGAGATGGGGAAGGGCGGCGAGACGATCTGCATGACGGTCTTGAAGGCCACGCGGAACTGCCGAGTGGAGATCTGCGCCGGGAACGAGGCGAAGAGGGCGTCGATGTAAAAGGGGACGAGGGTGACGGTCAGGGCGCTGTTGTGCGGGCACGAGAGCACCGAGAGAACGGCGCTGTGGGCTGCTTCAAAGAGCTCGACCGTCGTCGCTGTGAGGGCGCCCGTGTGGGTGAGGTAGGCTGTTGCCGGTCGGACGATAAGCGCGTCGCAGGCTTCTGTGGGCATGTTGAGGGGCAGGTGCTCGGCGACGTTGAGGTAGAATAGGTCTAGTGTCCTGTCGAGAGGGCCAGGAGGCACCACGCCGGCGTGGGGGGGCTTCGTCTCCGCGAGGAAGGAGACGGAAGCATCTCCGAGCCGTGCGAGGATGTCGAGAGAGGTGAGGTAGGTGAAAGTGTACGCCTGGAACGCGCTGGCTCCGTGTCTCGACGAGATGAAGAACAGAAACCTAAGGGTGAGCAGTGTCTTGGTCGCGACCTGGGGTCCCATGACATCGTTCCTCATGCGTGGATCAAGAAGACTGCGCCCGACAATGGACTGCAGAACAGCGACCGTGGCGTACATTGTCTTCTTCAGCGTGCCCCAGAGAACCGGCCAGGTCCCCTCGAGCGTGTTGTGCTCCAGCCGCGCCGTCTCGTCCGCAGCGTCGACCATCGACAACGGGTTGCGCTGCCACTGCTGGAACAGCTTTTGCGCAAACTCGAGCAGCGAGTCCTGCGCGTCGAGCACGGCCGACGAGTCCGTCGCGTTCGTGACGGCAAAGGCCGCCAACCGAGACAGCGGGCCCATGCCGCCCATCAGCGGCTTGCTCTCCATCGCCTGCTGCAGCCTGAACGACGGCGAGGCGGGGGACCACTCCACGAAGGGACCGTTCTGCTTGACGTCCCGCCGGATGTCTTCCAAGAACCCGCCATCCTGGAACCCGTCCTCTCCCGTGATGGCTAGCACGGTGATGGGCAGCAGTGCGTTGCAGTTGATGGCAGACTGGTGGAACTCGGAGAGGAACGGAAAGACGTAGTTGAGCGCGAGCACGATAGACGCCGATGCGAACGACCCATCCTGGCGCTCCAGCGCGAGGTTCGCGGCTGTGACGACGGCTTCTTCTAGGGTATTGCGCAGACCCCGCGACAGCGAGCGCTTGTCGTTGCCCTCCATGCCCATCAAGATACCCGTCAGCACCAGCAGATGCTGCCACCTGTTGGAGCGGTCATCGGCGCCCTTGACCACGGCCCGCACCCACGTCTCGCTGCTGAGCCCGCCGCTCTGCCTCGTCGGCGACGGTGTATGGATCGCACGGGAATCATTATTGGCGGCGGAGGAAGCCTTTGCGTCGTCGAGCTCGTTCTGCCGCACCCGTATCGCGGCGCTGTTGTAGATTGAAATGATGCGCAGGCTCGTGCGCAGGCCGTCGCGGCGGTGCCAGATGGCGGGCGCGATGAGGAGCTGGGAGGTGAGGACGCCGAGGTTCAGCGGGTTCGAGAGAGAGGCGAGGAGGTTTACGGTCGAGCCGACGATCTGGTCCGTCTTGCGGTCATCGTGGACGTTTTGGTACAGCTGCAGGACCGTGTTGAGGAGTCTGTCGGCCGGCATCGTGTCGTGTTGTGTCGTGTCGTATCGTATCGCGAGAATGGAGGATCATTCGGCAAATATGCTGAGAGATAGAATGAACTCCAGACCGGGGAGTTGACTATCACGACGGAAGAGACGGTGGTGGAAGAATGGTGCGGTTGGTGATGTTGCCGGTGGATTGCGATATCGAAGCCGGTGCCGATAGCACGAAGTTCGGCGGGCGGGCGCATTTGCCGAGGCACCTGGAGACCGACGGGACCGCCCCTAAAGCCACACCTCAAGCTTAAGCTGCGCCATCCCTGCAACACCTCCCGCCCACCCCAATTGGCACCTGAAGATCGTCCACTCAACCCCAGCAACATCGTCACCGCGCGCGCAAACCGCAACTACACCACATCAACAACCTCCAAAGACCTCGAACAAAAGTCGACGACCTCGTACTACCTACAACACCGAACAGCACAAATCCTCTTCCTCATCCAACCTCGAATCGAAGCCGAAAGAACACCCGACACCTGGACAATGTCGCAAACGGCGCGCGACTACCCGCCGACAAACTACAAGACCCCTTCGTTCCCCAGCATCAACTGGCAGCTCCGCGACCTGACGGCCGACCACCGCTGGAGCCTCTTCTATATTGAGGATATCTGGCGCTTCACCGTGCTATGGACGACCATCATCTACAGCGTGGTGCACCTCGGTGCCGCGGCCATCACCATCGCCATGCACACCAACAAGCGCGGGTCGCTGACGTACATTTGGGCCGTGCCGCTGCTGTACCTCATCGTGTCGGGCGTGCAGGCGCTGGTCGCTGGTAGTGTTGTTGGGTTGATGTAAGTCTCTGTCTCGCTTTTGGCACTCTTGTCAGAAATAGGAGCGAGGGAAGAGAGACGTACAGAGAAACGATAGAGGGAGGCTAACTTGGGATATTGTGTCACAGCCTAGCTGCGGTCTACCGTGCCGGATTCTTCTCCATGTCAACTTGGATCCCGTTACTATGGGGCGTCATCAACGTCCTCGTCCTCATTATCGCGTCCTTCACCATTCAAGGTGGTCTATGAACACGGATACGGCATGAAAACACACAAACACCTATATACACTACACGCACGATGAAAACCTAGGCACGCGAAAACTGCATTACTACATGGTAGAGCTAGGAATGATTCTGTTCGACACCTCGGCCGACGGCTTTGTTGTCGTCGGCTGCGACTGCTCGACAGTCTTGATTACCCGCGCCGGGTTGCCCGCCACGCACACGAAATCCGGCACGTCCTTGGTCACGACGCTCCCCGCGCCGACGGTCACGCCCTTGCCGATGGTGATCCCGGGCAGCACGATGACGTTGCCGCCGAGCCAGCAGTCCTCACCGATGGTGATTGGCTTACCCGATTCTGGCCCGCGGGTGCCGTTGCGGAGACGGGGTTCCAGCGGATGTGTGCCGCTATAGACTTTTTGAGAGGTCAGGTTAGGTCATTCGCGGGTCGCGGGTTGCGCCTGATGGGGTATAGTAGAAGAGAGGAGAGAGGAGGGGACTTACACGAGCAGTTTGGACCGATGAGGGTGCGGTCGCCCACGGTTATGAGGCAGGTGTCTATCCATGTGCTGTTGGAGTTGACGTAGACATTCTCACCGAGCCTATTAGGCGGTGAGTACGAGGTACGCTTCACTTGGCTGTGGAGATCCGGGGGTGGGTGTCACATACTTGACATTGTAGCCGTAGTCCATCTTTATCGGGGTATCGATCCACGGGTAGTCTTCAAGCAGGGCATCGTCCTCATGATGGCGGAGACGTGGCGGAGGGAGAGGGATCGTGTCCCGGTTGATGCTGGGTGGGTTCTCAAGTCAGATCCGTTCACTTATTATGCTAGGTACCGGAGTACACATGAGGTAATGCACAGTTTAGGGTGACAAGGGAAGCTCTCGACAAGGTCTTGAACGTTCCCGATACCCAAACGATGCGGGGACATGGCGATATGCACAAAGAGAACCGAGGGGGGTGGAGATTTAGAGAGAGAGAGACTTATAGAGAAAAGAGAGAAGAAGACTTACTCTTTCCACATGCCGACGAGGGTACGGCGGCTGACATCGCCAGCGTTGTTCAGCTTGTCGCAGGCGGCCTTGCAGCGTTTCCTGTCGGCGATGAGATCCGGTGTAAAGGCCCAGTAGAGCTCGCCGTTCCTCATGCGCCTCCGGTTTTCTTCCTTGTCGATGGTGCGGATATCCATGGCGACGTCTTGAAGGATGAGCATGTGGGATATGTCTTTTGTGCGCGGTCGCGCGTATGTATGTGTGAGTTAGGTAGGTATGAATTGAGGTGTGTTTATGTTTGCCAAGCTTGTGTAAGGCGAGGTAAAGCGAGGTGAGGTGAGGTAAGTTCAGAATGGGGTTCAGGGGAACTTGGGGTGGAAACAACCGACTTGTCGGTGAGTTAAAAGAAATGGATATCCACAGAGATGGACAAGGGGGGGAGGAAGAGAAATGTAAGTGATGGGTGTGAGAAGCGAGAACAAGGTGTTTCTATTGAAGACAGGGTCGTTTGGGGAAAACCTAGAGCACACCCCAAGACTTTTTGTATGGTGAGGAGGGAAAAGGGTCTCTATGGAGGGTAGTGTGTATTCGAATCTCGGATGCCAATTGCCGGCCGTTATCGAGCTACGGCAGTAGTATGGTAGTTTAATTCACGAGCTGCCAACCCTGAAGAAGAGGCATTACAGGATCAAGTGACCAATTGAAGCAATGGAGCTAGGAAGAAGAAGGGAAAGGGAAGAGAGCAAGAGGCTACGCAGCAGAGCTAAAGGTGGATGATCTGGTCGGTGAACCCGAAGCAAGGTACGTGTAAACGGCGGGGGGGACCAGACAAGACCAGACCAGACCTGGACCATGTTGGTTGCTGGTGCTGCTCCTCCCCAGCGCACTGCCAGTGCCCCCTCCAAAATGGGAAAAAGAAGCAGCTGCCAGCAACAGGAGCCCGACACCTAAGAGCAGTCAATGTGCAAAGTATCCGTAGGTGTTCAAAGCGCATCGATGGCCGCGGGGGCTCCACGCACTTGCGTCACCCGCCCCCCTTAACTCGGCCCGCGCTCGCGCTTGGCCTTACCCGCGTCAACTGTGTGCGCATCAGACGCCACGCACTCACTCGGTCACCGTCTCTGTCTGTCTCTATCTGTCAGCCACAGCAAACAGTAGGTTGTTTAGCAGATCCTGTTTCTTTCGGCCCTCACTCACTTATGTTTCCTCGCTGAATAGGGCAGGGACCTCTTGGAGAACCATTGAACAAAACAGTTTCACATCACCTGACACCGGGAATAACCTCAATAGCCTCTCCTAGCTGGGCTGAGGTGAAGGAGAGACTAGTGAGAAAAGGTGGGGGGCGATATCTAATTCTGCATCTTGGATTCCACAGTCTGCGCAGTAGTGTACAGAGAAAAAGAAGATACAACGTCTGTGCAGTCTCACGTCCACATCTCCACGATTCTTACTAGTATAGTTCTCGAATACCTCCGAGAATTGCAGCAAACGACCGGGAGAACCTGGAGCCCACACGTCGGAGTCTCGCAATTCACGAATCCGAGATGCTCCGTTTCCACGCATGTGGCTGACGAACGTCTACTTCATACTTCACTTTTACTACCCAATTCACTCCATCACAAGCCCACCGCCACAGAAACGCTATGATCTGAACTCGAACAGAGGAACCAGCACTGCCAAGTTTTTTTCTCTCCCTCTTTCCTTCTCTTCCCTTTCGTCGCAACTATCCGTAGACGTCTGTGTCTGTGTTGCAAAAGCGGAAACTTGGCTCGCATTGGTTCTTCTCGCATGGAAATGACGGCACAAAAGAAGCTAGAGCCAACTTGCCCCGCCACAAACAGCGCCCTCCAGTCTCAACGTCGTTCCGGCTCGTTGAGGCTCTGTTGGTTTTTCCTCGCAACGACGTGAACTCTGCCACACTTGCATCTGTCCTTTGCCGTATCCCGCATCCCGCGGCCACCACCACCACCACCACCACCACCACCACCACCACAACTCTGCAAGTGGGCTCCCGCGTGGCTTAACCTCGACCTGCCTGGAAATTCACAGAAACATCGGATCAACGCATCTTTCGCACAAATCAGCCACAACCATGTCGACCTTCCGTCGGGTGTAAGTAACTATCTCCCTTACCTAGTACCTTTCCCTACCTTGCTATCACCTTCTCTTTCCTGTGCCTCCCTACCTATACTCCCTTCTTGCTCCAAAACCACAGCCGCAAACTCAGCCACACCACCCGATCCCCCGTATCTTCGCCCCGTCTCCTCCCCGTAAATGTCCGCTCCCGTACCGTCCTGTTCTATCATATCCTTAAAGTGGTGTGAGGTGAAGTGAGGTGAAGTGAGGCGAGCAAGTGTGGCTGCGATCTCGACGTCCTCGGACACCTCCAAGGACGTCCAGTCCTATGACCATCTGCCCCTCAACACCAAGACCCCCACCATCGCGATGTCTTCACGCACGCCCATGAACCCCCTCTACTCCCAACCATCAAAACTCTTGAACCACAACCACGACAATGACTCTCAATCAACTAACATCCCCCGCAGCGACGCCCGCCCCCAGGACCCTCCAATCCCAGGAAAAGAATACTACCCAAACCAACCAAAATCCCTCGCCGGCATCGCCCTCCGCGCCTTCCTCCTCGGCACAACCTTCACCCTCGGCCTCCTCTCCCTCTCCCTCCTCCTCCTAAGGACCTCATCTCCCCTCTGGCGCCTCCCCTTCTTCCTCTCTGCCCTCTCCCTCTTCCACTTTCTCGAATTCTACACAACGGCAGCCTACAACACCCCGCAAGCAACAGTCCATGCCTACCTCCTAACAGCAAACTGGCCCGCCTACGCAATCGCCCACGCCACAGCCTTTCTAGAGTGTCTCCTCACAAACCTCGTCTTTCCCAATAGCGTCTGGGCGCCCTTCGGCCTCCGCACCTTCCTGCTCATCACAGGTTTGCTTCTGGTCGGGCTGGGCCAGACGGTCCGCTCCGCGGCCATGGTCACGGCGGGCCAGAGCTTCAACCACACCATTCAGCACTACCGCGCAGAGTCCCACACCCTCGTCACGGGCGGCGTGTACGCCTACTTTCGGCACCCTTCGTACTTTGGCTTCTTCTGGTGGGCCATTGGCACGCAGCTCGTCATGGGGAACGTGGTGTCCCTGGTGGCGTACGCCGTCGTGCTGTGGTACTTCTTCTCAAAGAGGATACGACACGAGGAGGAGCTGTTGGTCAGGTTCTTTGGACAGGATTATGAAGACTATCGCAAGCGTGTCGGGACCATGATTCCCTTTTGCGGGTAGCATGAACTCCGTTCTGTGATAGTTGGTCTTTTGGCGCGCAAATAGAAAGCAGACAAGATGCTGTTGAGCCAAATGGCAAGTGTTGTGTTTTGTCTAAAACCCAGAGATCATAGTGTACATAGAAAAAATTACCAGGCCAACGCCGTGCCCCATTAAACGTATGTTCTCGCTGGTTACGAGCTTGCAACCGAGTTCCAGGCCATTTGCCTGCTGACGCTGCCGTACTTGGCTTGCCACGCGTAAAAGTACATCAAGGCTGCAAAGGGTTGCCCAAGGATGGTAAAGGACACCCAGAAAATGCAGTTGCCGAGCATGCGACCTGTGGGAGACTGCATCTTTTCAAGCGGAGTAGTGAGGGCAATAAGGGGAAGTTGGAAGAACATGCCCGCAAAAGCAACACCTGTTGTTTGTTAGCCAACTGCCTGACTGTACACGTTGCTCCCCCAGGACGACCTACCAATAATGTTATGTGTCGGGATACCAACAAGAACCTCGTGCAGAACAGCAGACGCAAAGAAGACAGCCAGCTGCGCGGCCCTCGGGCTCCATCCTCGGCCGATCAGGGGTGAGTAGACATGACGCTTGAAGTACTGGTATACGGGCTTGTTCCACAACCGCCAGTATGCACCCAAGCTCTCGCTATTCCACCAGTCCTCGTAGAAACACCGGTCACCGAACCGTGTGACCTCAGCGAGGGCGTTGAGGAAGGATTGGAAGAGGGCAAAGAAGCCAGCAAGCCAGATGACCAGAGAAATCGTCGAGAGCTTCATCAATCGCTCGAGAATCTTGGGGACGTCTAGAGACGCAATCTTATCGAGAGAGTTGATGAGGACAGGAGCGGCGTACTGGGCGCTGGCGAACCAGATAAAGACCCCCAGACCAAACACCTCTGCCATACGCTTCGCGACAAAGACCCATCTGATCTTGTCTGTCCTCGGGTACGCGGGCTGGTAAACCAATGTCGGGGCCCACCAGAAGTACGCCAGGTTGTGCATCGAAATGTTCTGCGGGTAGGGACACTGCTGGTAGATTTCGGGCATGGCGGCGAGCTCGCCCTTGACAGGATGCAAGTAGGCATGACGCAGATCTCGGTTCGTAAAGGCGTACGATGCCGTCTTGAGCCAGACGATGATGGCGTGGAGCTCAGTCAGGGTGCCGATCAACGGGTGGTGAATGTGGAAGTACACGACGTAGGATGTAACGGTCAGAGCGAGAGTAATGTTAACGGCGTGGATCCAAGCAATAACCTTCCAAGTTGAGTTGAACCTCGCGCGCTGGTCTTCTGTTGGGCTGGCGGCTCCGTCTTTCGATTTCGCCCGCAAGCCCCTTGCTTGCTGGGCGGCGGCCAATTCGATCAGGTACGCGGCGAACAGATGACAAGGGATCAGGAGGTATAAGCCCAAGCCCAGAGCGAGATCTTGCTGGCGAAAATCGTGGCAGCGAACACAGATCAAGACACCATACTACAAGCACCTGGTCAGTGACGTGGGTCTCCACATCAAGAACAACTCATTGAAGCCTACTTTTTGAATATTCTCCATCATCAGACGAAGATTACCGACAACTATACTTGGTTAGCCAATGCCATTGAAACAGCTCTAGCATCGGCTGGACGTACTTAGTACAATTATCATTAAGTTTCTGAAGCCAATGAAGCTTGGAGCTGTGTTAGAGTCATGGCTCAGGGTTGATGGGCGCGATTTGGAGTGGACGGCAGCGACGTGTCTGTATTTCTTTTGAATGGCCCTCCTCAGCTCATCGGTCGTACGGTTGGTCTCGGGTGTAGTCGGCTTGACGGCGGCCTTGGGGTTGGAGTTGCCATTGGAGGTGCCATTGTGCTTGTTATGCAGGGAGGAGGAGGTCGTGGTGGTGCTTGAGCTCTCAAGGCTCGTCACCGTGGCCGTGTTCATGACGGGCAGGACGTCCTAGGAGCTATTGGGTTATCGACAAGAATGTAAGAGAGAGGTGGAGGAAGAAAAAGCGTCCGTAGTGGATGACGAGGGGAAAAGATGGGTGAAAGTATAAAAGTGAGGAGACGTGTAGGTCGGCTGTCAGGGAAGAGCTATGTATATGCAATGCAGGGAGCGAAGTGGTGGCAAGCGCGATAAGATATCGGACTCGTTAGTAGAGATCTCTAATGCAAGACACCGCGCGCGGCCGGGTCAAGCAAGGAAAAGAGAGTACGGATTGACTTTGTAGCCGGTGTTTCCAAGGGGAAAACGGACGGCGCCCGCGAATCGATCTGAGCTCCTTTCAGAACTGAGGAGAAGCTATTTTATCTGGATTGGACGGTCCAGGTAGGGCGCATTGGCCTTTTGGCTGTGCCTGGTGAGGGGCAATGGCTGAGGTGCAGGAAAATGATTGAGTGGTGAGGTAGCTTTAAAGAAGGGGGTACGTCAAGGCACAGGGGGAAGAGGGAAAGACTGGCCCGGACAGTCTTAGGGTATGTAGTCGGAGGGAAAAGCAGGTGGAGGAAGCTAGGCCGACGCCATCAGACCTTGTAGCGTGGGGATTCGTTCATCAACGTGGAGGAATGATGGAAGAGGAGGCGCGCTGACGACAAGAATGCAGACGGCGTGCAGGATGGGCCAGTTGAAGAGATGCGATGCAGAGAACTGATCAGAGACATGGAAATGCAGGAGAGATGAAGTAAACAAAACAGAGTTGCGAAAAGAGAGAGAGAAACGAGTGACGACGGGCCAAGGTGCTAAGGTACATAGATAGATGATGGCACGGCCCAATGGGGCGGGATTGGAAGGGGGGACCTTGAGAATGTCAGGGTCGTTGAGCTGTCTGACCCGGAACCTGGCTGGATCAACGAAGAGCGCCTCAAAGCCAGCGCTAATGCATGACCGCAGAGTAAGAGACAGCAGAGGAGACAGAGAGAAAAAGCCCGTTGTGTTTAAAATCACCCAACACATCCTGCATCCTGACGCCGCCAGCCTAGGCAAGTTGAGGCATTGAGAGAGAAAAGTCGCATGCATCCAATGCACGCCAAGGGTCTCTACGGCTCCACGGATAGTGACGGCGATCCCCGGTGGCAGCTCTGAGTGGTATAGCCTGGGGTTCACCTCGTGGGTCCAGGGAACTTGGGAGTCAGAGTCTAGAGGAAAACGAAGAAGGAGCCGTGGCTTTGCAACTGGAATTCACATGTGAAAGTGCCTGACTGACTGGGCAGTGGGGAGAGGGGCCATAAGAAATCGCACCTTGCCATAAATTATCACCTCACGAAGAATCGCGGGATAATTTTGGGCATTCGCGGCATGGGAATGGAAATTTGGGGCATGGGCGCCCCGATATTGGCCCGGATAAGAAAACCGATAAAAACCGTGGGCCGTGGACCTTCCCGGGAAGTGATCGGATACGTACCCAGGCTGCATTAGCTCATCGACGGAAATTGACGACGTTGGAAGGGACGTGCCTACGTGCCTCCTTCCTTCACAGCTCACAGCTCCTAGCTCTCAGCTTCTCGGTCATGTGACTGCGAGAAAAGTAGCTGGCCTGTGCACGCGTCGCGGTCATTTTCACTGTGATTGGCGACGTACCAGCCTCGTGGAACCGAGCAATGCTGAAGCTCCATCACCAACAAGCGCCAATTCACATTTTACTGAAATTTCAGGGTTCAATTCATCAGCCATAAACTACATATGAGCTTAATATCAACAAAGGGAGATTGCGAAACCCTCATGAGAGTCTAAAGATGGCGTATGATCCTCGAGGGGATCACCATGGCAGGAGAGGAGGAGGAGGAGGCCCAGGCGGCGATGGAGAAGGGCAAGATGGCGGTTTTGTGAGAGCCAGGGGTCGACGTGAGTTTTAACCTAGATTCTCTAGCACAAACTCATGCGTAGAATATCCAGAGTGGAAGTCTTTAGTCTACATGATGAGAGACAGGGGCGAACACCATCTGGACTTCTCATCTCAAACTTCTGCGCGCTTGAGACAAGGACTAGCTCTCGCGAGCATATAACTGACGTCCCCAGGTCCTGTTACTGATTATGGCTCAACCGTCGCCAACTGGATGCGCCATCGCTCGCCACTTGACGGCGATGCATACACCGGAGAAGTCGAGAGGCCAAGTGCCAGCTTCATCGTTGACGTGAGTCCTCTACAAGCTTGCTGTTTCCCCCATCTCCATCCCTGGCACTGACATGCTCACAGTTCATACCACCCGCCGCGAGGAGGACAGATCCCGGTGACACAATTCCAGTGAAGCACCTTCACTCATCACTGAACAAGATCAAGCACCCGGTCAACGTCGTCCGGTGGACGCCAGAAGGACGCCGCCTGTTGACCGCGTCGAGCAGCGGAGAGTTCACATTATGGAACGGCACCGGGTTCAACTTCGAGACCATCATGCAAGCGCACGACTCCGCCATCAGAGCCCTCGCCTACTCTCACAACGACGACTGGCTCATCTCTGCCGACCACGACGGAAGCGTCAAGTACTGGCAGCCCAATTTCAACAATCTCCAGAGCATCGCTGCGCATAACGATCCGGTTAGAGACCTTGCATTCAGCCCCAACGACTCCAAATTTGTCACTGCATGCGACGACTCGACGCTCAAGATTTTTGATTTTGCTGGAGGGGTGGAGGAGTCGACCCTCAAGGGCCACGGCTGGGACGCCAAGAGCTGCGACTGGCATCCGACAAAGGGCTTGTTAGTATCGGGCTCAAAAGACCATCTGGTCAAACTGTGGGATCCCAGGACAGGCCGGTGCCTGACCACTCTCCACGGCCACAAAAACACAATCACAAAGACGCTGTTCGAAAAGGTCCAGGGCGACTGCCTGGCGACGTCAGCACGAGACCAGACGGCCCGCGTCTTTGATCTCCGAATGATGCGCGACATCTGCCTGCTCAAGGGACACGAGAAGGACATCTCGACCATCGCCTGGCACCCAGTCCACTCCAATCTCCTCAGCACAGGCGGCCACGACGGCTCCCTGTACCACTACATCCTAGACGAGCCCAACACGCCCGCCGGCCACGCAAACTCCGTAGCGCCCTACGACAGCTCCGACCCGTCGACGACCCCGGCGCAGACGATATACCCTGCCCACAAGGTCCCCTTTGCCCACGACTTTGCCATCTGGTCCCTCGACTGGCACCCGCTTGGCCACATCCTCGCCTCGGGCTCAAACGACCGCATCACACGCTTCTGGTCCCGCAAGCGGCCCGGCGACGCAGACGTCTTCCAGGACCGTTACCACGTCGGCGAGGCCGCCGCCGAGGCCAACGGCACATGGGACCGGCGCGGCGGGCGCCGCCAGCGCCAGGAGGAGGAGGAAATGGAGATGGAAGACGAGATGGACGGCCTCGTCGACCAGAAGATGCCCCTCAAGCAGCCCATGGTCCCCGGGTTCCCAGGACTCCCCGGCCTGCCGGGACTGCCGGGCCTACCGGGTCTCTCGATGCCGCAGAACGGCGGCGCAGGCGGTCCCGTCCCGCCACCGCCCATGATCCCCGGCGTCGGCGGCGCAGGCGGCGCCCCCCCTCCACCTCTACCCTTCCCCCTGCCCGGCCTAAACGGTGCACCGCCGCCGCCGATGATCCCAGGTCTACCGGGCGGCATCGATCCGAGCAACCCGGCTGACCTAGCCAAGATTGCCGAAATGATCCAAAAGGCCGGCGGCACCTTACCTCCCCCGCCACCTGGCGGCTTCGCGCCGCCGCCTGGCATGGTGCCGCCGCCGAATTTCGTGCCGCCGCCGGGGTTCCCGCCCATGCCCATGTCCATGCCGCCGCCTCCCGGCGCGAATAACAACAACCACAGAGACCGTGACGACCACGGTGGCCGTGGTGGCAGGCGGGCCCCGCTTCCTAGTCAGGAGGAGAGTCTAAAGCAGGAGCAGCGGCGTGGGAACTATACGCGCTCCCGTTAGGAGAGCAAGAAAGTAGTGGAACTGGATGGGCGTGGGGGCGTGGAACCCGCAAAGGGGGTTGGAAGGCAAAATACGACTCGGAAGTCGTCGAATTGGATTACTCCGGCCCTCGGCGGTCCTTTCTTTGTACGAATAGTGGCTTTGAGGAGGAAATAACGGGTTGATGATACCCTGGCGCTGGAGGGAAACCAAAAAACACACAAGTCAAGACACAGTACTCAAGGAACTCTTCGTCTTTGGATAATGAGATGATATATGTGTGTGAAGGCATGCTGTCGGCATCTGTCGAGTGACCAGGCTTGTCTAGTGTACATGTGCCTCATTGCTTGTGGTTTGAAAATCTGTCGCATGATGCTTGTGTCGTAGCTCCGGTATGCAAATATGCGATGCAGTCAACTCCTCTGTGCCTCTCTCCTGCTGGTTGCCTCCTCCTTCCAAAGTACAGTAATGGTACATACGTGAAAGCAAATGAGACCTATGAATAGCCGATTGGCCTCATGCTAAATCCCCGCCAAATAGGAGAAACCCCTCACGGTCCATAGCAAACGCAACGTCCCCGCGCACTCCTCTGTGCTCCTTCAGCAACCCCGCCGATCCATTCTATGAACGTCCCTTACCGCCACCACCAATCTGCTTCTGCCTATCCGCGTACTCCTTGACGACAATGGCGCACGTCGCCTCGGTACAGAGCCTCTTGCGGCGCTGCGGCGCAAGCTTACTCGCAAACTCGAGCCCCGCGGCGCGCTCGACGGCCTCGAGCGGCATCTCGAACTCGGACAGCGGCTTGCTGTTGGGGATGGGCGCGTTGGGCATCACAAAGGCGCCAATGGCGACGTTGCCGCCGACTTTCCCGTCCTCGGCGAAGATGACCTTGTAAAAGTGCGTCGGCACAGCGACGTTGGGCGGGTTGCCGATGACCTCGTATTTTGTGTACCACTTGCCGTCGACGGGATCGCGCTTGGGGAGGTACAGAGGCCCCGTGACGATGCGGACGGACGGGTACCGCGTCGTCAGGCGGCGGCAAAAGTCCTCGAAATGAGCCCAGTAGTCGCGGTTGAAGCCGTCGCCGACCTGCGGGCACATGTTTGTGAGGTAGAATGTGTCGTCCATGGCCTTTTGGGACCACTTGCAGTCGGCGGCGGGGACCTGGTGGCCGCGGTCGTAGCCGCTGCGGAAGTAGTCCTTCAGCTTGGCCTGGAACTTCTCAGGGACGGAGGCGTCTTCGAGGAAGACGCTGTGTTTGCGGTCGCCGTCGCGCTGGGCGAGGGAGGCGGGTGTGATGTGCTCGACGACGTAGTGCGGGTTGCGGGTGCGGCGGTCGAAGGAGGAGACGAGGCCTTGCCGGGTCGCGAGGTCGGCTATGGGGCCCGGGAAGCCGTATTCGAAGATGCCTGCCGGGTCGACGGGGCTGCCTGACGCTACGGGGACGGGACCCGGGCCGCCGGAGGGTGAGGGAGGGAGTGGGACGGCGTTGGGGTTGGTGAAGACTTGGGTGCTGGGGACGGGGACAGTGGGAACTGTCGAGAAGGTGGAGGTTGTTGTCGGTGCCGTTGTCGTCGCGGTGGGAGGTTGCTTCTGGGAGCGCATGGAGTAGATCGAGGCCGTGAGCGCGGCGCCGCCTCCGGCGCCTAGCGCCATGAGGGCGAGAGAAGTGGTTTTCGACATTCTAACGGTTAGGTTGTGGTGAGGCGGTTTCGGTCTTTTGCGTTTATCTCTTGCAACTAACACGAAAGGATAATGGGAAAGGGAGTCGGAAAAGTCGCCCGATTTCAAGGACCCGCCGTTGCTGACACTACTCTGGCCACGGGGCAAGGACAAAAGGACATGTGATGATGTTGCTGGTGTTGGTGTGGTGGGTGTCTCACCTCACGGGACGGGAATCTGGAGCTCGGAGCTGGAAAATTTTGGGCAACGGTCGGCAGCGCATAGCCCGGGGCAGCGATTTCCAGGGACCTGCTCGGAAAGGGAACAGCTCAGTGCGGCAGGCGGCAGGAGATGCAGCCACGCAGCTTCCTTGTCCCGAGCATTTGCCGGCGTGAGGCAGGTGGATGTGGGGTGGGAAGGATTTCAGAGCAGGGGCCATGGGAAAAGCTGATGTCGGTGACATCGGTGTGACATGCTCACCGATATCAGGACGTCGGTGAGGGCGGGGGCATGCGGATGACCAAATCCCAGCCTCCGATTCGCGGCGCATTTCTGCCCTGCGCGCGCGATGTAAACTCTTTCTTTGGAGAGGGATCCTGGCCTACTGGCATCAAGCATTCAAAAAAGACACAGCAATAGCATTCCACTTCAACCACAATTGCAATAGAGATCTTTCACGTGTTGCACAGTCTTCTCTTTCAGCAGGGCGCTTCGGGCGGCTTCAGTGAGTTGGCGGCTAGCGCACATCACGGGGCTCGAGGGGGTACCTAAAGTACTTCGTAAGGTCAGGTATGGTACGTGGATACCTCATCCCGCCATCCGGGTTCTCAAAGCCAAGACTTGATCCATTCACGGACGTGAGCTGTCAACATGCTTGACTCGGTCTAGGATATGGGCGAGGGATCCCCAATAAAGGGGCGAACAACAGTAGTTCTGTGTTGTTTTGTGACTTTGCCCGGCTCAGCAGGATCGAAACAAGTTCTCAGTGTACCTAGTGTTGGCTGGTTCATCGCTTCAACTCTTGTTAGAAAAAGAGCCGCATGTTTCCTGCATCAGAAAGGAAGAAAGGGTGGGTTGCTTTCGGGGAGGGTCAGACGGCAAGCTGCAGGGCGGCAATCGACTAAAAGAGGGATGAATAAACCTAGTGATACCGGTCTGTAGGTACGAGACCAAAACAGAAGAAAGCATGCAAGTAAGAATGAAAGGGAAACGGACTCTGTCGGGATATGAGACTCCCTCATAATACTACACAGTAAGGTGACGACTCTGACTGGGACAGGCCATCAAGGTTCTCAAAATCTGGTGCAAGAAAAACCCATGAAAAAGGCAGGCCCATAAGGGCCCCCCTCCCCAGTCGTGGACCATCACCGGGAAACAGCGCACCGGCCCCGCCAACAGAGCCAGATCCAGCGCCCCCGAATCCACGTCCCACGCAGGTGGAAAGCTTAAGGCGCAGAAGTCTCTCCCAGTCCCCCCACCAGTCTGCGCAAAGACGCATTCGATCTACTAGCGGCCATCGACATCACTACCTTGCCTTATTCTCTCTGCAACATCACCGTACACTCCTTCGTTCCCTAGACCTACGCCTTCACTTCTCCTCCTCGCTCCTCTCCTCTCCTCTCCTCACCAAGTCGTGGCGAATACCTCGAAGGCCTCACCCTAGCACCTTGGTATCCTTTCATACGCCATCTATCCTACCTACGTCTTCCACGACCAACCTACGTACCGTACACCACTCGCGATCCAACCGGGTCCTTGCGCACATACAACCTTACCCTACGTCAGAGGCCAGTCGCTCTGTTGCAGGACGAGACGCAGCCGACTAAACCATATACCGTATCCAATCTACTGGGATTGCGACGGCACTCGAGAACCACATAGATCGAATCGCATACGAGAAGAATATCAAATCACGCATCCCATTCTGCATGCGCCAAGTACACAGACATCCTACAGTCATCGATTGGAGGTGTTGAGCTGAGCTGCTCATCATGGAGTCGACGGAACTCGACAACGACACCAGGGGGTGGATCATGTGCATCGTGAGCGGAATAGGTGGGTGATCAAACACACACACACACTGCGTCTTGCCTTGGCCTCCTACGACGAACATTGGCTAACCTTTTGCTTGCTTGACAGCTTGTGTCGTGGGCGCATCTATCATCTGTGTCGACCTCGTTATACGATACATCCCCGGGAAACGTAACTTTAGGATACAAGACAGCAATGCCTTCCTGGCATGCTCTTTAAGTCTGAGTTTCGGTGTCATGGTGGGTTGAACCCCAGAAGCTCTACGCAATTGGATTCTGGCGAACGTATACTGACTTTGTTCTTACAAAACAGCTTTACTCGGCGTTAAACAACATGCTCCCATCCGCAAAACAATACCTTAAGGAGGATGGCTTCCAAGACCAGATCGCTGGATTCCTTATTATGGCCTGCTTTATTGGAGGCTTTGTTGGCATTCAGGTCATTTCACGCCTGCTGCATCAGTACATGCCATCTCACGTTGTCGATTGCGACCACACGCATGACCATAACGAGACCGATACCCGATCGCGCAGCCAGAGCAGAAAGACTTCTTTGTATACCTCTAGTCGCCGCTCTTCTCGACGCCCGCTTGTTGAAAGAATTGCAAAAAATGGCCACGCCACCGAGTCGACACCCCTTCTAAATGGAGAGGTTGCACACGAGAACGGCGCACCACCCATGGCAAAGCGCCATGCCTCGAGTAGGGGCAACCTGAGCCTCAGCACCAACCACGCTACTCCGACGACCCGAACCTCGCGAAGCCGTGGCCCAACCGTGGATAGACGACCGTCCATGGCCCAAGTCCAACAGCGGGTCATGTCCTTCGTCAAGGACACGAAGACGAATTGCGACGAAGAGGGACCATGCTTTGGATACACAGATCCTTGCGGTCAGGAATGCTTCAAGCACATGAGCAGCCGCTCGACATCCACATCAAAACCTCCGGCTATCCTTCGCACCAATACAGGACACTTTTACGCTCATAGCCATACGGATTTGGAAGACTTGGAAGAGCGTGGTTCCTCGTGTAACTCTCCAATCAGTGGGACAATGCGAACCAGCCGCGCAGCTTCGAGGGAACCTCTGCCGGAGCACGATGAGACGCATCACCACCACAATCACAGCAACGGCCATGACCACGATCACTCGCATCACGACCATGACGCTCACGGTGACGGCGAACACGCGGACGAAGATGTCGAGGCGCAACATCATCATCACGTCCCTACCAATGCATTTCTCTCCCTCGGCTTGCAGACTTCAATCGCCATTGCGCTCCACAAGTTCCCGGAAGGATTCATTACCTACGCAACGAACCACGCGAATCCGGCGCTGGGCTTCAATGTCTTTATGGCCCTGTTCGTTCACAACATCACTGAAGGATTTGCCATGGCACTGCCGTTGTACATGGCGCTTGGGAGCCGCATGAGGGCTATGTTCTGGGCCGCGATCCTTGGTGGCCTTAGCCAGCCTTTGGGAGCGGGCATTGCTGTGCTGTGGTTCAAACTCGCGAAGCACACCCACCTCACGCCGAATGCTGTCTCTTACGCTTGCATGTTTGCCATTACGGCTGGAATCATGGTGAGCGTCGGCCTTCAGCTCTTTGTTGAGGCGCTGAGTTTGAACCATAACCGGAATCTCTGCATCTTTTTCGGATTCATGGGAATGGCCTTGCTGGGCATCACGGGTGCCATCGCTTCTACGCATTGAAATAGCAGCAATGCATTGGTGGGATATTCAAACTGGGAAATCAAAGCTCTCTCACTCGTCGGCGTTTAGGATTGTTTGTTTATATTGGTGGGTAAACACTTTAACATGGATGGGCATGGACAAGGGCGGCAGGGTACACATGCATTTATACCATAGGAATGGTCTACGGCTTCGCAGGTCCCAACTTATAGACTGGATAGGTGGCTCAACATTGAGACATCTCGTGAGCATCGGGCCTCTGGCCCTAACAGGTTGGATTAGGATTTGCTGCAACGCATCGACGACCGCTCGGAATTATAGATAATGGCAATCGAAGAATGATGTTCGAAATCATATTGACCTAAGTTTTAACTTCAAGAGTGATATGAGATCGTGCAATCCGAGTAATGACTTTGAAAGCAAGCGTTCGCTAATCTCTGATGGTAATAGGTGTGGTACAGAGCAAGGTAAATGCTATTATTAGCTTTATGGAAGCCTATGTATGTACCAGACAACATTGCAGACGTATTTCACTAAGAGACAACGAGAAAGCAAAAGAATTCCAAGTATCGCTGAACAGTAGCCCTCCGACAAGGCCAAGAACGAGAACTGAGAAGCAAGGGCAGGGACTGTTCCCCACGGGATTGGCACCGGTCACACTACGCAGTAGATACCGACGAGAATTGAGTTCGAAGCGCGGGCCATTGTGGCTCACGCTCGGCTTGGGCTATGCCTTCGGCACTGCTTAGATCCAACGGTCTCTTTGCACCACATTCCTCGGGATAAAAGAGATAGGAGCACGTGGAAGGCCTGCTATATGAGAAAGGCGATAGGAACATGCCATGGGCCAAACAAGATGAGAAACGCCAGTTCTCTTGAAACAAGAGAGGGTTCGAGAATAAGTGGCCGTGGGTCCCTAGCCACGCGCTCCCCTTGTTTCCTGACCCACGAGGAGCACGTCGAGGGTCATCCAAGTAAACACTGGGCGTACTGTAATCGTGAAGAGAAGAAGCACCACGAAATTTCCACTGTGAAATCGCAGCCAAAAAAGCGTAGAAACGCATGGCTTCTCTGATCTTTCTCACTGTGCCCCCCACTTTCATCCCGCCAAAAGTCGCAGAGCCAAGGGGTCTAGAGCTTGGGCCGCCCTTTACCTGTCATCCAATCAGAGCTCAGACTTCAGCGCGCAATGTAAACAAACGAAGCGGCCCCTCTCCAAAATATCCCCGTCGCGCTCTACGTACCGCAACCGCAGCCCGGAAATCCCATCCACTCCTCTCTCTCGCCTGACATCATCAACCCTTCCTCTTCCAAACCAGGGACTCGCTGGCTCGACTTCTTCCGTCTCTTTGCTCTCCTCTCGATCGTCAACGACATCCACGCATACGAGATTGAGAATTCCCACTCGCAAACAGTCAACATGTCGTCGCCGCCTCGCCGTCGTTCGGCCCGGTTGGCCAGCACCAACACGCCCAAGGTAAGCAAACAGGCTACGCTCTTTGACCGCTTCTGTAAACAAACGGCGCGGCGCCTAACTCACACAACTTTTTTTTTTCTTTATCTATAGCCCAAGGCCAAATCCACCCTGGCTTCTGTTGCCGAACGCGATGATACTCCTCCTGCTCAAGAGGTCGCCGAGAGTCTAAATGCGCTCGTCGTCCCGAATCACGAACCTGCGACGCCCTCTTCCCACTCGAACATTAAGGCCCCGTTGTCGGAAATGCACCCGAGCAAGGTTCACCCCACCGCAGCACCTCCCTCCGCTACTTGGCTCGGCTTCAGAGATATGGACCCCTCCGACAAGAAGGCCGATCCCCAGGCGACGCCTTCCAAGACGCCATTCAAGTCCACGGGTGTGCCCGAGTCGCCCTTCACCTTCCGCGTCGCCCAGCCTACCGGAGACAATGGCTTGAGCAGCGATGCCCAGCAGATGATGAACGAGCTGCGCGAGGAGGCGGCCAGAATCAAGGCGGAACTACTCGCCAAGCGCGAGCTGGAGAGAGAGGACGAAGAGATCAACGGCCGCAGGATCGCCAAGGCCAGGGGCAAGTCTGGCCGCTTCAGTGCTGTCCACATGGCCGAGTTCAAGAAGATGGACTCTATCGAAGGGCATCCTTCAGCCTTCCGAGCCCAGCCTGGCCGGGTCACTCCTCTCAAGAGCCTGAAGCGGACCCAGTCCAAGGCGAACCTGGACGATACGCCTACGCAACCCAAGTCTAGCTTGAAGCGATCGCCCTCCAAGGCTAACTTGGACGACACGCCGACGCAGCCCAAATCTGTCCTGAAGCGGTCTCAATCCAAGCCGAACGTCGACGATACGCCCACTCACCCGAAGTCGATCCTGAAGAAGCCGTCCAAGATCAACCTGGGCATCCCCGATACGCCCTCGCAGCAGAAGTCTAGCCTCAAGCGCTCTCCGTCCAAGGCCAACCTGGACGATGCGGACCCCAACAGTCCCACAAAGCCGAGTCTTGGACCTCGACCCAAGTCTCGCATCTTTGCAAACATTGAACCACCCTCATCAGTCAAGCGTATGCGACAGCGGTTCGAGGACGATGCTACCACTGCTCGGCCAGTTTCTCGCGACGGCAGCTCTCTCCCGCGTCCCAAGTCTAGCGGAACAGATGCGCCTACTGGCCTTCGATCTCAGCCCAGTCTGGCCTCCCTCACGAGCCCCACTGCGTCTTCCCTGGCTCGCGCTGCTGGTTCCAAGATGCCCTTGCCTGGTACACTCAACAAGTCAGCCAGCAAGCCTGATCTGGGATCGCTCGTCAAGTCGCCCTCGAAGCCCGAGCTTGGAAGTCTCAGAAGATCGCCCTCAAAGCCTGATCTGGGTGGCCTCACAAAGTCTACCACCACCAACAACCTTGGTGCGCTGGAGAAGACGGCCGAGCTGAAACGCCGAATTGTGAGCCCCGGTCGCTTCGAAAGAGTCAAGTCGATTCTTCGTGGCGGAAAGGGAGCCTTTAACCAGACGAAGAGTGCTCTTCCTAAGCCCGCTTTTAGCATCTCCCAGACTCCTGCACCGCAGGCTTCAGAAAAGACTGTTCCCGCCGTTCCGTTCACGACTCCGCGAAGAAAGTTGTTTAAGAGAGTCGACTTCACTCCGGACACTAACCGAGCCGCCGATGTTCCGAACACAGTTGCACACCAAGCTTTCGCGAGCATGAGCCCTATTCGTAAGAATGGAGAGGTTGAGTACCCCAGCCTCGATGCCATGCTCGGAAACGGCAATGTCACCCAGCGAAAGAAGGGCGAGAATCTCTATCCCGAACTGAGTGTTGGAAGCCCGTCTGACAAGGCGACCGAGAACGCCAGCGAGAGTATCAAGCCTCTGCCTCCGACTGTACCTGGCACATTCACTTTCCGCAGTGACCACACCATCCGATTCGGTAGCGCCTCTCCCACTGGTTTCGGTTCGACTGCTGGACAAGCCAGTGTCCGTCACGTGAGGGCCTCGCTTGACATGCCGGGTAGCTTCCCCACAGGCCCCGAGTTCACCTCCAACAAGGAAAACAGGTCTCCCATGCAGTTCCTGGCTGGAAAGCCCCATGGAATGACCAACAAGAAGCGGGCCCGCGCTCGTGAAGAGGAAGGAGACCTTGAGGTGGAATCGGGTGATAGAGCTGGCAAGAGACGCAAGGCCGAACATGTGCCCGAGGGTGATGCTCTCCTCGCCCCCAGACTGATAGGTGCTACCCCGGGCACCATTGGCAAGAAGCTACAGAGCCCTCGCGTTGCTCAATCGCCGAGCCCCACGAAGAAGCGCGGCGGTATGAGTCTGAGCCGACTCAACATGCTGGCGAAGCCAAAGGCTCGCAACTAGGGATGGGAACAGGAAACGCCCGATAACTAACTTGGCTGATTGAAGGCACACAACTACTTACACCGGTCTTGTTGGATTTGTATAATATGACGAAGAATGCGGATGCTTGGCAAACTGGACACGTTGCTGTCGATTGCATTGGATCTTCAGCAGTGGCAGTCCAGAGGAGAGGATTACGACTGGCGTAACAAGGATGGCTTACGGATGGATCAGGCTGGACCAACGGCGGTTGCATGGAGGGGGGCATATGGACTGGTCTTGGCGTTTGTGTTTTGCTTTATTTTTGTACAATACCTACTGGCGTTGGGATGAGATTGTCCTTTTTACTTTAGTTCTCGGCGGGAGGTTCTCTACCTTTGCTGAGCTTCAGGTCTATGAAAAGTTGCACTTCCATCACGTACCGACATCACGTACAGAGACATGTTCGTCTAGTTACCTGCTCATGGGAAACCCAGCTTTGGTTTTGACATTGTGAAAAGGTCGATGAGTTAATGACACTTCCCTTGCATGCATGGCTTCGTCGCGAACCTGTGTGAGGAATATGGGACGAGCAGGCGGTCTGTAGACCGGATCTAAGCTCGAACAGAGGTGGGATACGAGTCAAGTATTCCTTCTGTCGTCAATCATATCGGAAACGAGTCCAACGAACGAGCAATACCACGAGTCCGGAGAACTACTCCGGGCTCGCGAAGTACAGGTTAGGCGAGACGCCCCGAGCGTACGAGCGATTCCCGTTCGCCGTCGTTGCGGGTGTGGTTCTCTCAACTCCCACCCAGGGGATAACCTGGTTCTCCCAGCTACCCGGGCATGCCGGCCCGTCCGGAGGTTTTGCATGACGTTCGTGCCGTCATGGACCCAAACACACGGAGGTGCCACTTTGCGGCCCGTCACCCGAGCGATCTCTCCCGGTTCGTCCGCCCTGGAGGGGGCGATCGCGACGAACCACGGACCAGATGCGGACCAGTCGGGTGTGGGACTGGAGTCGGTCTCCAGAGGGCGGCTTCATGCTTCATGCTTTCATGCCCCTTGGGAGCCCGAGTTTTTGGCGATTTGTTGGTAGTTGGATTCGGCGGACACGAGGCATACGCCGGCGAGGTGGCTGATTCGGTCAGTTGGGCAGTCCGTTGCGCGAGGTAGCATATTGTATCATGATCCATGAGTTGTTAGCGTCCACGCCGTGACTGCCTTCTTGAATGACCAGCAGCATTCAAATTCTGATCTATTTTCCCGATCATCTGGTACGGGGCCAGGTGGACCAGCGCATACTCAAAAATCGGCTTGGCATCTTGGGAACAAGATGCCCGCCATCCACGGAAAACCTCGAGGCTCTCGTCTATCGTCGCCTTGCTGACGATGGCGTGTCTCAATCTCCAAACCTCCAAGGCCTCCAAAATAGTCGTCCGAATCCGAAACTACAAAACGGTGTGAATCATGTACCGGTCTTTCGAGTCCTCGTGAGGCGGCGCCTGCCTCGCTTTCCTCGTGTGTTGTCATTCGAGAATGCGTGGAACGGACACTCACTAGGCTCCCGGGCCCTCTGCGAGTCCGTCCCAACTGTCGTCCCTGTGACAAGACAGCATGAACCTCTCGGATGCGGGTTTGCGCTCGGTGGCAGCGGATCTGGCATATGCTTGTGGTAGCTCCTCGCTCCCAGTAGCTGGAGGATCAGAGCCCAGCATTTGGTATGCAGGAATTCGATGGCATGCTTCTAGCAAGCCGTCCAGTGGTCAGATTTGCTGATAGCTCGTGAAGACGATGCAGAAGAGCGAATTGTCATTCGCCGTCCGCAAGGTACGGTTAGTCTTCGTGCACTTTGAGTAGCTGCAGAGCGAAGAGCACGCCAAGGGAGGCAAGCTCGCCATCCATCAAGGCTGCTCCTCATGAAGTGAACTTTGGTGTGTGCCACCAAACCGCCGTGTCCGACTGCTTGTTCGACAATGCCTTTCCATCAAGGACCAGCCGATCCTTCGAAATCGAGTTCACATGTTGACCAGTGCTGGGAACCGGGCATGTTCGTTGGCCCCAAAAGGATACGCCCAATATACACCAAACCACGATGCAAAAGTTTCAATGCCTTGAGTCGGGACTTTGACTTTCCGCGCACTGAGCGTTCTCTCGATGAATGTTTACTGTAAAACAGTAAGAGAGAGGTTAGTTGCTCAAGCAGGACGAGGCTGTGGTATTATTGCAATAGCATGGCATGGCATAAGGGAGAGCGTCTTTGTGGTCGAAGGCTAGTATTTGACGTAAAAAGCATCAAAATGATATGCTAGGAACTCGGAAGGGAGCTGTTCTGGGGGACCACTCAGCTTTCGGAATAGCTACCGAACGCTGGTACCGAAATATAAGCAAACAGCGGGTACCTTCCCGGGAAAGTGTCTCCTGGGCTTGCCCCTCCGTGCCGAAAGCTGATGACGCACACCCCGCCTTAGGTATTAGTTCCAATGGTTGTCAAGGTAGGTTCAACCTCACTGCCCAAAGATAACTGCCACCCACCGCAGAGAAAGCTCTCTCCGGTCCCGCAGGAACAATGCGGGGTTCGTCGCAGCAGAGAGCATGAAGTGAAAAGACCTCGCACCCACACAATGCATTACAAACGCAAACTGGACCGCAGGGCGATAGGTAAAGTAGCTTAGGTAGCTGTTAGCTACCTATACCCAGCTGTACGTAAGTACTTTGCCGGATAGCTTTACCACCTTTGGCATGTTATACGCCCTAGCAGCACTTGTACACGGCACACCTTGCTGGGTGAGACCTTGGAGGGGTTCGCTCCCGCATCCCTGCTGGGCGTTCGGCGGTCCATGGTGGGGTAAAATTGGCATCATGATGAAAGGAGGGACAAACGGTTTGGTCAATGGCAGGACGAGACGGATGGAAGGGGGGGTAAGGTAGAGATGAATCTAAGCCAAGCCAAGCTCTCTGGCTGTCTCCTCCTCCCCCTCCACTTCTCCGACCTGATCTCGAAAGGACTTAACTCGGTGTTTTTATTTATTAGACCTCCTCAGATGCCGCCCTCCCTCTTGATAGCCCCCAGGTCCTCTCTTTTTTCCTTTCTTCCAGGCATAGAATAATTCCAAGCTCTTCTTCTCCCCCCCCTCATCATCTCTCTGCCTTGCGTCGTAACGAACAGCATTATACCCCCTTCAACACCAATTGACACATAGTTGATACCCAACAAAACAACAAAACAGCAACAATGGCTACCGCAACCTTCCAAACCAAGGCGACCATCACCTCCTTCGGGGGCCAGCTTCTCAAGCTCTCCCACAAGTCAAACTCCACCGGCACCGACATGGCCGTGAACCTCTACCTGCCCCCGCAAGCAACCACCCGCGCCGTCCCCGTCCTCTTCTACCTCTCGGGCCTGACCTGCACCCCGGACAACTGCACCGAAAAGGGCTTCTTCCAATCCCAAGCCTCTGCCCGCGGCCTCGCCGTCGTCTACCCGGACACCTCCCCGCGCGGCCTCGACCTCGCCGGCGAGCGCGACTCGTGGGATTTCGGCGAGGCGGCCTCCTTCTACGTCGACGCCACCCGCGAGCCCTTCCGCCAAAACTACAAGATGGAGACCTACATCACAAAGGAGCTCCCCGAGCTGCTCTTCCGCGAGTTCGCAGGCAAGCTCGACCGCTCCCGCGTCTCCATCACCGGCCACTCCATGGGCGGCCACGGCGCGCTGTCGCTCTACCTCCGCCACCCGGGCATGTACCGCTCCGTCAGCGCCTTCGCCCCCATCGCCAACCCGTCAAAGTGCCCCTGGGGCGAGAAGGCTTTCACGGGATACCTCGGCGACGACCGCGCCGAGTGGGCCAAGCACGACTCCACCGAGCTCGTCAAGAACTGGAGCTACGGTCCCCTGAACGCCCTCATTGATGTCGTAAGTTTCTTGAGCTCCATCTCAAAGCAATGACGCATGAGAATAGGCAACTAATACAAGAGATACTAGGGCCTCGGTGACAACTTCTACATCCAGAAGCAACTGCTGCCCGAGAACTTTGAAAAGGTCGTCAAGGAGAAGAACCTCCAGGGTCTGAGCTTGAGATACCACTACGTAAGTTGAGCCCAATTCATCATTATACTAAAACTTTCAGACGCTGACCAGAGTAATTAGGGCTACGACCACTCCTACTTCTTCATGGCCTCCTTCGCCAAGGACCACGTAGACCACGCTGCCAAGCACCTGGGTCTCGGCTCCGCGTGACTCGAAGGTCGGACAAGACTGTAAACAAAGTAAACGATAACGTTGAAGTCGATGATCAGGGAGCACGCAGTGAGGGAGCGAAAGGAACCAAAGGTCAAGCCGCGAGTTGGAATACCAAAGATGTCGAGAGGACAGAGAGACGTTGCGTGCGCGCAGTCGACATGTAGTTCTTCTTTTTAAGTAGGGTAGTAGGTTGCTGCTGAGATTTTTGAAATTTGAGAATAATAATCGACGTTTCATCCACCCCGTTCCAATCATGACCTTCGTGAAGAGGAAAAAGACCAAAAAATCCAAAAGCACCTATTCTCCTGCCGCATGGAGTATCTTGCGCATGATACGAGTGTGATATAGCAGAAACGCCAGTGTCGGGTAATAAGAGATAAAGAGATAGAGAGAGAGAGAGAGCGCCGGCCGTGATGGGAGTATATCTAGTAAGATGCAACCGAATAAGTGAGGAACAGCGCCTAGCTGACCCGTTTCTCTACCTCGGGACTCAGGCCCTCCTTTTCGAGCTTCGCCCGCATCTCGGCGTCCATCTCCTTGCGAATGCGGTTGTAGGCCAGTTTCTCGAACCGGCTGAGGGCCTTCCACCAGTGCTGCCCAGCCTCGTGCTCACCGATGCGTTCCAGCAGGTCGGCCGTCTTGAGGCGCACTTCGCGGTCCTTGTGGAAGAGGCCTAGTGCGACATAGAACAGCCCAGCATGCGACTCTGGCGCAACGCTCAACAGCAAACAGATCTCGTCGTAAGAATGGACGTATTTGTGAAACGCTGCGTAGATTTCCTTGCTTTGCATCGGGTTGAGCCGTTGTGTCCGTAGTCGATCATGCATGTGGTGCAGGTCGAGGCCCTTCAACGGCCTCACTGTATAAAGCAGTGCGAGATCCTACGACGATTAGTTCAAATCCTAAGGAATAGTGACTGATTCCGTGGTTTCCTTACCTGGATAAAGCTATAGTAGCTCCTTGTGTTTCTCCACCCTTCGATTCTCGTCACATTACCCGCAAGCTCCTTGTGTTTCGATTGTTCATCAGGCCATACGTAGCCGTGCCCGTTCACGCCCACCGGACCCATCTCTAGTTCGTCACCGCCAATGTAAAGAGCACTTGCGCCGTACACACTTTCCTCAAACGCAGCTGCGATTCGCGTGAATTTAATAACCCAGTCTCGCCATTTGGCGCGTATCACTCTCTCACCGTGCCTTGCCGCGATACTTCGTAGGATATCTTGCAT